CAGGGGCTTAAGTGGAGAGCAAATGTTTTGAGAATGATGAGGGCAATGAATGTACAAATGTACTTTACACAATTGATGTATGCATGGATTGTGATGAGTTGTATGAGCCCCTAATAAAACAATAAAAAAGAGGAAATAGAGAAGAGGTAAAATAAATAAATAAAAATGGCCAACACCAGTCTATTTCAGCTCATTAATGCCCAGGATATTGATCTTTAGGTGTTCCATTTCATTTCTGACAACTTCCAACTTTCCTAGATTCATACTTTGTCCATTCCAAGTTCCAGTTTTTTCTCATGTTGAGCCAGGTTCCATCAGCACAAGCAGGTACTGAAAGCTTTACTATGTCCGTGCCATGATGGCCCCTCTACTTGGAGAGGACAGTTCTTCCTCAGTAGCATTCTGAGTGCTCTCCAACCTGTGGGGCTCCTCTTCTGGCATTGTGTTGACCCACATCCTGCTGGTATTCATGAAGTTTTCAGTATATCTGACGATGTCCCACTGCTGTGCATAAGGTTTTCAATAACTAATCACTCATAAGTGGAAAGCCTGATGGTGTAACTTCCAGCATCTCAGTAACATGCAGACCAGCACAGTCTGATGAAGTGGATAGACAGGTGGTGGAATGCGCTAATTATTTTCATTATTATTTATTGTTGCAAAGGCAGACACACAACAAATATAGCAATTCAACAATCCCTACATATTTAATTCAGTGACATTGTCTGTCTTTTTCAAGTGTGCCATCATGCTCACTATCTAATTATTTTTAAATCTTACATTTTCTTACCAGTGAGCTTGAGTTCTCATTTACCTCTTGGCTATTTGGGGTTTCCCTTCTCTAAAGATCTTGTATGTATTTTTTTCTCAATTTTCGTTTGGAGTTGTCTGACTTTTCCCAGGGGCAGTCAAGATTTCGTATATTATAAATATTAATGACATTGCAAATATTTTCTCAAATATTTTACCCATTTATTAGTTGCATCTATGATCTTCATTGCATGGAAAGTCTGAGTTTTGTTAGGGTCAAATTCATTAATTTTACTTTCTGCTGGATGTTTTTGGCTTATCTAGAAAGTTCTGGCTACTCAAGTGGCCCCAACATTTTCCTCTAACTGTTGTGCTTGTGTGCCGTGAAGCCGGTTCCTGTTCATAGCGACCCTGTGTTACTAGGAGGTGCTGTAGGGTCTGCCCCAGCTCCTAGCCGCCCTGTGTACAGCCGAACAAGCAGTGCGCGGCCCTGTGCCAGCCTCGTGCATGCTCCTGTGTTTGCGTCGATGGTTGCATCGACCTAGGGAACTGGAGGGCCTACCCCTTACGCTGTCCCTCGACCAGACCGGTCGTGACGACCTTCTCCAGAGCTGGTCACTCCTGATAGCTTGTCCAGAGGATGTGAGACACACCCTCGCCATCTTCGCTTCTCAGTGTAATTCTGATTGCATTTCTTCTGAGACAGATTTGTTTGTTCTCCATTCATGGTCTATTCGGTATTCTTCACCAACACCATAAGGCACAGGGATGGATTATTCTCTGTTCTTCCTTGTCCATTGTCCAGTTTTCACATGCATGTGTGGTTGTGGTTGTTGTTGTTAGGTATCATTGAGTCAGTTCTGACTCATAGCAATCATATATATATCAGAATGAAATATACATATAATCAGAATGAAACAGAGCCCAGACCTGACCAACCTCACCATTGTTCTTATGTTCGAGTGTGTTCTTGCAGCCACTTTGTCGATCCCTTCTGTCCAGGGCCTTCCTCGTTTTGCGGCCTCTCTAACTCACTAAGCACGATGTCCTTTCTCCTGACTGCATATCCAAAGTGCACGAGTGCATCCTCGCCTCTGATGAGCGTTCTGGATGCACTGCTTCCAAGCCACATTTGTTTGTTCTTTTGGCAGCCTATGGTAATTTCAGTATTCTTCTCCTGCACCGTATTTCAAATGCATAAATTCTTCTTTGTCTGCCTTATTCAATGTCCAATGTTTACATGCATATGAAGCAATTGAAAATACCATGGCTTGGGTCAGGCTCACCTTATCCCGCAAAGTAACCTCCTTGCTTTTCAACATTTTAAAGAAGTTTTGTGCAGCAGATTTACCCAATGCAACTCATCTTTTGAGTTCTTGACTGCTACTTCCATGA